TAACATCACAATGTATAGTCAGCTAACACATCCTTCGAAATCGTTCAAACATTTGGGGAAAAAAGTGACAAATGGAAACTGCGGTCACGAAGAAGTAAGAACTTATTACATTTCGAGGATACTTACAATCGTTCAGTTCCGGATATTTTGTATTCCGGCCTGCTATCTAAAGCTGTAAAGATTATAACGAATTTTTATCGGGCTACCAGCAGTGTAAAGTGGTTTATGAGCACGAGGATGAAGATGGTTCTCGAAACTTCGGTGTTTTCTTCATTAAACCACCTTACACGGCTGGTAGCCCGAGAAAAAATTGTTATACTTAGTCGCCGTGAAAGCTTCAGATCATACACAAAATTAGCATCTTGCCTATTGTCTTGTATATGTGTGATATTATCTGTTATGTTCTGTAAATACAGCGTGTCTGAAACCAAAGAGCTAAGGAAATAAAGGGTCTAACAGACAAGGTGTAGTAGAAGGCTGAAAAAATATGCATAATGAGACGCATCTTAACCGTGATATGTAACAACTATTATTATGAATGAATTAAAGTGTTAGAGCTCGATGAAACGCGTGATACAAACGAAAAAAATGAGATATTACAACAAAACCCTAGTCGGAAAACCTGATGAAAGCACATTGGACACAAAGGTATAAATATAAGAGGATAATGTTAAAATTGACTTTACAGACATTGTAACGTCTTACATTAAATAGGATGTGTGCAAGTCAGAATGAAATAATATGAAGATGGCTGTCTTCTGGATTGTACCGCTGTGTAGTCTGGCAGAAGTTTACAGATGTTTCAGGGATCCTAGCTTAATCCATTATCAAGGACCTCAGAAACGTTAGTAAACTACCAGAATTCACGAAAACTCAAAAGACAGCCATCTTCGGTTCACCGCCGTGAAAACCTGAAATTCTACACGAAATAATATAGTCCAGAGGTTTGCAGTCTGTGGTCCTCGTACTTTTGTAACATTGTATCATACTGAATGATGTAAATATTTAATGCGCAGTATTTACAAAATTTAAAGTAAAGAGTTAATGATAATAATAACAAATAATGACACATATCAAATAAAATACTTGACTAATATGTAAACCTGTTTGTCTAGCATTTTTAATAAATTTCCATGACATTTATATAAATTGTACTGTCTTGAAATGTTGGCCACCCCTGTTGTAGTCCAAAGAATAAAGTCTGAAGGGTTGTTAGTAAACGGCGATTTTCACCACAGTGAACCAGGCGAGCCTGGCTGTTTGGAACTCCGATAACATCTACTGTCTAGCTACCCAATTGTATAATTAATGGAAAATAATCGCTGGCATTTGAATCTGTTATCAGAGTTCCAAACAGGCTGGCTGGTGTGGTCTATTCCCAACCTAAGTGAAAGTCAGGAGAGAACCTGTTTGTAATTTACTCTACACATTACGTTGTTACAAAAACTGTCAAAGAACTAAAGATGTTCATCATAACACTGAAGTTCTTAACATCCTTTATGGGGGGTTAAAACTTTGGCCTACTTAATTAATTAAAGGGTAAAACAGAACTTCAAAAATAAGGACAAAATCTTTCATCAACCTTAGTCGCCGCGAGAGCTTCACATTATAAACGAAATACAGGTAGCCCTCGATTTGTGCCGGTCCAATTTGCGCCGATTTTGAAACCAGAAAATCAAAAAGTGAAAAAAATATATTTTACTATTATTTATAACGTTTTACAATGCATCTCGTACTGATTCTTATACTAAATCGTAATTCTTACATCGCTCATTTTGATTAAAAATTATAAATACAATCATCTCTGCAATTACATATGTTTAGTTAACGCAAATTTTCTCCAGTGAGATCGATGAATCGGTAAAAGCTGTTTGTGAAATGCAAACTTTTGCATATGCGAGTTTGCTCTTATGCAATTTCATTCCTGGTGCTTTAAACTTTCAAAGGACTAATTTAATCTCTGCGGAGGTACCGGGGTTATTTTTACTACGCGATTTTCTGTAGGTCGGCGTCTTACATGAATGCAACTATCGCATAACAGCAGAGATGACTGTACACATCAATCACATGAAAGAATCCCAGTCAATCGCGGGGACCAACGAATTGCCGATTGTAAATGTAATGCCATTATATTACTCGTCAATGTTTGGGTGCTGGGAAGGCATGTCATTGACTTCCCATTGATTTACATTATAAAAGAGTTTCAATTTACACCGATTCCGATTACGCCGGTTCGTCCAGAAACACATCTCCGGCGTAAATCCAGGGCTACCTCTATATAGTCTACGTAGGATTTGAAGTTTTCACTGTGGTGAGTCTGAAGATGGCTGTCTTCTGGGATTGTTGTAGTCTGGTAGAAGTTTACCTCTGAAACGTCAGTAAACTTCTACGAAACTAAACGGCGCAACAACCCAGAATACAGCAATCTTCATATATAGTCTAGTTTCAAGATGGAGTTTTACGTAATACTTAATACGTGTTAAGTAAAGTAAAGCTGTCCCACTACACGCCATGTAGGCGCTTGGGGGGAGTGGAGGTATAGCTCCTACTCATTCTTGACCTCGGCACTAGATGGGGGTGTGGTCAGCATCACGCCCCGGCCGGCTTTACTCCCGGGAAAGGACCCCGGTACCCATTGGATAGGAGGCTGGGGGGAACCGGTCTGGACGCAGAGGCGGAAAAATCCTCTGCCCCCGTCGGGGATCGCACCCCGGTCGCCCAGTCAATCACTATACTGACTGAGCTATCCTGGCTCATACTTAATACGTGTTATGCTGCTAAAAAGGCTTACCAAGATGCACATATGGACAGATAATAATCAGAATCATCTTACGATATTTATGGAAGTGTTTCGATTTCAAGCAATCTTTAATACCGGTTGCGGGCTCGCTGCAATATGGGCGCATACCTAACGACTGAGTTATGTGGATTGCACAAAATCTACCGATGTTTTGATGCAGTATACATTGACTTAATGGTTTTCACAATGTGTAAAGCCGGCTTTACAGACATAAATGACAACGTTTCAGATTAGGATACTATGGACATGATTTTACTGACCTGTTCTACATGGACATCTAAGTATCTGTCTTAAGAAATTCAACCAATTCCTTATTAACAAATTCGCACTTATGATAAATACTAAGTACATTTCACATAACCAAATATTATATCAACCATAAAAGTATAGAACTAACAGGTTACATAAGAACTGCCTCATGAAATCAACACGAAATTTAAAATATTAATATAGGAATCGTATTTCATAAATAACTCCAGAGAAAATATTTTCTTACGCCAATATACGAATACAATTCAAAATCAGAATAGAATTACTTGGACTGGAGGGTATATGTAAAGTTTAAAACAAGTTTCTTTAACAAGTAACGATTTAACTGCGTATATTCATAAAATAACACCGTTGCTATTCCAGAACATCTCACAAGCACTGCCTTCCTAAATACAGAAACGTCTGGATAATGTTTGTAATTAACTCCACATATTATATTAACGAAGAAAGTTTATGCCCAATAAATAATTGTCCACCATAACAATGAAGACTTTCTTAACTGTCTTGTCAAACATTAACCTACGTATTCCTTTAAAAAAATTATTAGCATTCACGGAATGGAAACGCTGCACTGATAAAAACAAAACACTCTTCGCTTGTCCATTGTGTTTATGTTCTTTTTTACAAGGTAGCAAAACAGATTTGTTTATGTATATATTCAACTATGGTTATCCGAAAGAGCTTTTTTAAGTCTTACAGCAAAACATTTAATTTCCGGACATCAGAGTGACGTCAGCTTTCCTGTAGGGCCTCTCATTTACTCTTATCCACTCTCTGACGGAATTAAATTTGCAGGTATGATTTTCTTCATCACTTATAATTTATTAAACTCCTGAAAAATTTGAGGTTCTCACGGCGGTGAGTACAAAGATGGCTGTCTTCTAAGTTGTGGCGCCATGTAGTCTGTAGACCTTGCTGCCTCCATCATAAGGGTGATGAGAATCACACATCGCCGTGATGGTGGAGGAAGCAATGACCTCTGAAACTTTGGCAAACTTCTATCAGACTACACGGTGCTACATCCCAGAAGACAGTTATCTTCTTATTAAACTCCTCCTTTATATATTTTTTTTTCACCGTTCTGTTACTATCTGTCTCTTTACATCATTTCCTCAAATATCTACCATCTACGTTCTCCCCTTATAATGAGAGACCCATACAAAGTAACAAAACTACAGTTTCAAGTTTTTATGTAGGAGATTGGAAAATAAAAGCATTGTGAAATTAACAAAGACAAGCATTCTTCAAATTTAATCTCTTATTAACTTCGTGAAAGCTGCTTCGATGTTTTACCGTTTTCAATTTTTTAAAAAATTACGTCACAGTTTCGAAATACATATCAATTGCCATTATATTACAATTTTGTTCTGAACTCTATCGATAAACCACGACATAATAAAAATTCGATTCAATCAGTTTTTTATGGTTAGTGGGCTGCAACAACAACCAGAAGGCCAGTTACAGACACAAAATAAGAGAACAACAAAAACAATAAATGCAAGAAAATAACAATAATGGAATTATCAATAAATTGCATGGGTGTAGAGAAAATTAATACACAAAGGCAAGTAGGGAGTAAACAAGAAAGCTTACTTCAAAACATATTGCAGTGAAACTAATTTTTTACTAAATATATCCAATTAAATTAAGTTCGATTTAGATTAAAAAAAAGAGAATGAAACATGCAAAATAAATAAATTACTAGATCAGAGCAATTTGTATAATTTTGATAATAACATACAATCTGTCCTACGTGGAAGCGATGAATATGAAAAATAAATATGTTTATAAATTTCTGTAAAATGTAATAAATACCTAATGTATTGAAAGTATCACAGATATTATAGAATGGGACTAAGTGAAACAAGTTTTCTGTTTTAAATATATGAAAGTACCTGCAGACAATGATAATACAAATAATACATTTTACCTGCCCGATTCTCTTCGATTCACAGCAAGAAATGGAAATCTTACCAGCCGAACGCACCAAGTAAAACTAAACTCACTACTCTCAATAACAGCTCTGTACTGAACGATTAACATACAAACTGTCTCGACCAGTAAACACAGAGTAGTCAAAAACGTAACCGAACTGAAAAGAACCCAATTTAACTGAACATTCGTGACACTGTTTAAATGCCGCAGTTCTTCTGGACTACAACACTGTTTGACATGTCGACATTAGCGTAGCATTATGTTTTCCATGCTCTAACATGTTAGGTTTATTTTTGTCTTGAACCAGCTCATACAGGATGATCAATAAGTCACGCAACCAATATTATAATATTTACTGATGGTTGCAATACAGTACAATCAGATTGGATTAATAAACTTTACTAGAGCCCACACAGGTTACACCATGTATTAACCTGCTCGCGCCAGTCCGTCAGTTGTCCTCAAATAGTCGAAGTGCAAGGTCGTCTTTTTCACAAGTGCTACGTGTTCATTGTCGAACATTACCTCGTATCCTGTTCTTACTTCACTTGCCAGAATGAATGTAGGGATATATTTTCCGATTCTCCTATGCAAAATAAATCAACATTACCTTACCTGGTTAACCGTTTTAGTGACACGAGAACTCAAAGGGTTGCATCAGACATGAAGAAAAGAGTTAATACATCGCTGTACGCGGTGGACATTTCCAACACTTAACCTAACACCAATTTGTTTTTGATTTCAGTGTAATTTATTTTTTGACAAACAGAACATGTGTCTGGAATGGATTGTGTGACTTTTCGATCACTCTCTATAACTTGCCCAAGCATACTGTGGTTGAGAGCAGAGTACTGTAATCGGGGCGAATTTGTGCGTTCGTAATCCGTTAGAAGTAAGAGGCTGTCACATTTCGTGTCTCGGTAATGTCTTTGGTTCACATGGTATATGCGTTTGTTTTCCTTCTCCTAACTGGAAATTAGTGAAGACGGAAAAACGTACAAATTCACCCCGACTACAGTGAAGCGAGATATCTTATTAGTGCAGCACAACAGACTCAATAAGAAGAAAAAATATTTACCCCGAACCTGTTGGGTTACTTCTCTAATCGACCGCACACTACTTGCAAGAACATCAGGTTTGGAACATTTCGTCGTTTCAGAAGACTTCAGAAGACTTCAGAAGACTGCTGCTGAAACCACCAAAGAAATCTTCATGGACTACTTGACACAACTTCACATTAACTTCCAAGTTGGGCTTATAAATTCGAGTAGGTACGAGCTCCAATTGTTAATAGCTGCGTCGAGTTCATTTTCCCCTTCCCTTTGCGTTTTTACTTCGAAGTTACAGGATAGATACGTCTTTGTTAACGTTGTTGATGTTAGAACAGAACATTCCAGAATACTGCTTCCCTGTCCCTTGCGTATTTAAAGCACAACTATAAAATTTACGAATGAAAGAAACATGTACCTTTTTTATGCATTCATGTTATTATTAATTGAAAATAACAGAGCTGTTGCATATGATAACTAACTAACTAGATGGCTTACGAAACCCGAAGGTTCATCACCGAATTAACCAAAGCCCTCCACCGAACCCTGTCCTGGGCCAACAGAATCCTTCACCGGACTGTCCTGAGCCAACAAAATCCAGTCTCCTTCAACTCCCATCTCCCATAGATCCGCCTGGCATCATCCTCCCATCTACGTCTAGGTCTCCCCAGCGGTCTCTTACCCTCAGGCTTCCCAACCAATACCCGGTGCACACCTCTTGTCCCATCCATGCGCGCTACATGCCCAGCCCATCTCCTTCTTCTCGACTTAATTACCCTGACAATACTGGGGGAGCAGTACAGATTTTTAAGCTCATCATTATGCAGTTTTCTCCATGCCCCATCGTCTTCCCTCTTAGGCCCAAATATCCTCCTCAACACCCTGTTCTCAAACACCTGCAATCTGTGTTCCTCCCTCTGAGTGAGAGACCATGTTTCGCACCCATACAAAACAACAGACAAGATTATTGTTTTGTACACTTTAATTTTCAGGTTCTTAGAAATCAGACGGGAAGACAAAATATTTAGTTACCACCTAAACAATTCGTTTCTCATGCATTAACATTCTGTCACTACTGAAATGAATGTTTGTTTGTTTTTGTCCATGAAGTAATTTTATATACAAATTTTAAAAATTCTCTGGGTATTACAGACAGTGTAATTGTCCTTTACGTTGTAATTCAATGTGCAGACAATTACAGCCTAAATGACGAAACTACGTTAAAAACGAAAGGAAAAAGCGATTGGTGATGTATCTTTGCCTTGTATTGTAACCGACTCTGATCGAAAGTTGAGAGGATATTACGACCTCCGCATAACTTTCAAATCACCTCTGATATGTGAACCAATTCTCTTAAATGGAGATAAAGCATCTCCTTGTTTCAGACCGTTCTTAATTGTAAATAAGGCAGATAAATATTTGCCGAAACGAATTTTGCTACAGGTTTCATTTAAGCATATTTTTATTAGACTCACTAGCTTCCTTGCTATACAGAATTCAATGAGAATATTGTATAACACTTCTCTGAGTCTGAGGTTTATATCCTTTCTTAAAATCACTTTTGCCTCCGTACAGATCTCTAATATTTTTGTCATTATTTATCTCAAGCTCAATAATTTTGCCCTTTTCCTATTCCTAAAGGTTCTATTACTATCTTCACGTCTCACGTTACATAGATTATCCGTATTCGTTTTGTTTGGATTCTGCTTCCTTAGATCTATTAATTTTGAACATTCTACATCAAACCAAGGTTTATTTTGCTTCCTCCTGTAGTATCATATTTAATGTTTGGCTGAAATTTTGATACTGGTGGATACTCGATACTGGGAACGACCGGTTCTTGAAGTGCCTGAGCACTGCGGGTCCCAACTTTTCGTTGGCTAGATCTATAGACATTCGGTATGACTCCTTGGACACCTGTCTACCTGTACACAGGGCAGCACAACACAGAAAAACGCGGAAAAACATTCATGGCTCGAGTGGGATTCGAACCCACGGTCCCAGTGACCGCGCGGCCACTGCGGCCCCCCGTAATTTTGATACAGTATCTGATATTTTCCCACTCCCTGTTGATATACACACTTTCATAATTTTTATTTGTCTCTAAAATTTAAAACCTCATTGAAATTTCAACTTGATATTGCTCCTTTACCTCTCCCTCATTTAATTTTTATTTTTAAATAAAATCTTTTTGTGTCGAAATTTTGCTTAGTTCGTCTACTTACTGATAGCCGCCCCATCACTCTTGTTACTATGAGATAATGGTCAATGTCACAATCTGCTCTTCTGAATGACCTCACAGCAGTTATAATTGTCTTTCTATTATTTACTAAAACATGATCTATGTGATTGTGTATGCTACCATCTGGAGAAGTCCAAGTGTAATCAAAAATATCACGGTGTGGAAATTTTGTACTCTTTACAATTAAATCCTTTGACGTAGAGAAGTTTATTGCTCTAACACCATTGTCATCAATCTTAAAGCCTTGCATATCGTGCAAGTTAATGATATATATAAAATCATGCATGCAAACATACTCATTTGGTCATTCAGATGATAAGTTACTTAAAACAGAATTACATCTAGATTCGAACCCAATTACAAAATGTCGCCTATGCTAAATTTATTTGTTAATAGACATACCCCTATCAATTTTCAGTTACTTTACCTATCTGAGTAATTGGTCAGTCAGTCTTTTAAGATTGTAACTACACAGTACAATTTTTTATTTGAAATATCCTCAATATATCAGGACAGACGCCTGAACTATGTGTAACTGTAAGTTCGTCTCTCAAATGCTTGTCATTATCACTGATACTAACTTAGCCACTTAAGTTGGTTATTACTGAAGTCGATAATGCAGGCTGCGCTTGTGGGCACAACTCAGTCAGTATAAAGATTAATCTAGGGGCTAGATGGCCGGGCAGGGAAACATATTTCTTTCCTACAAACTCAACACTAGGCAGTTATGGGGCTCATCCAGAGTCCTATTCAGTAGGTACCGCGTGCTGTGTCCCCGGGGTCAAAGCGGACGGGACGTGAAGCTGACTATTCTTATTCTAGTCCTCAGGTTAACGTGTGTGGCTATACCACACTTCCTCACATTTATTCATGACGTGGTGATTAATCACAAATAAAGACACTGCCTACATCATCGCCCAGATGGGGAGAGTAAGAACGTCAAAGACGTCGGTAAACGTCTAACAGACTACATGGCGCAAATATCCTATAAAACACGAATCTTTAACTTCACTTTTGTTTTACTTACAACAAACCCTGAAGATGCTCGATGAACAAATACAATTACGTCTTCTTCAAAACTGAACAATACTAAACGCAAAATCATGCAAGAAAATGCCACATTTCTGATCGTTCCTGGAGGCAGGATGATTGTGGGGAAGGGTGAGAGAAAGGACTTTCACAGCCTGTCAGTGTGTTTATGAAGTGACTAAAAAGAAGCCATTAAAAACCTCTGGCAGAAAATTTGTCTCAAGGATTCGATCCAAGAGCCTTTTGAAAGCAGCTTAAGTGCTTCACCCGCTGGCACTTTAAGTTCAGTCAAACCTTCAAAAGAATAATAATGACCCAGGAGAAGAGGTTTATGTGTAACCTACTTTCTTCCTGCAACACGCGTCAAGACGTCTGCAGCCTTGCTCAAGAGGGGAGGAAGGTTACTTGTACACACTCATCGTGTCTAAGAACCAGCAGGGCTGAGTTCGTGCCCAGTCATTTTCTTATTTTCCAGTCATTAACACGGTCTGTCGCGTTAATGGAGGAACACAAAATGACGGCGTCTGTGAGAACAGGGCGCTTAGGAGAGAATTTGGACCCCAGAGACACGAAATAAAAGGAGAATTGTGAAAGAAAGCATATGGGCAACCTCCGTAATTTTTACTCTACCAAATATTGTTAAGACGATTAAATTAACAAGGATTAGATAGGTGGGGTACATAGCGTGCATGGTAAGATGAGAAAAGCGTACAGAATATTTGTTGTCAAACCTGGAAAAAGATCACTGGCAAGACCTAAGCGTAGATAACAAA